GTACTAATGAGCCTTTCCATAATAAAAATAGCATATATGATTGAAAATTAACAAATTGGCGAATAACATTTTGGTCATGATAAACAACCGTTGATAAACCTGAAAACGAGGAATAGCATCTAACAATAGTCTTGATAAACACAGGTCTTTGGGTAATGTTTTGCCACAGCTAGACCCAGTTCAATCCAAGAAAAACACAGTCCTTTTGGATAATGGTTTTGCCAGCTAGACCCAGTTTCATGCCAAGAAAAACACAGACTTTGGTAATGGTTTTGCCAGCTAGAACCATTCAAGCCAGAAAACACAGTCTTTGGGTAATTGTTTTGCCAGCTAGACCCAGTTTCAGCCAGAAAACACCAGTTCCCCTTGTGGGTAATGGTTTTGGCCAGCTTAGACCCAGTTCCAGCCAAGAAAACACAGTCCTTTGGGTAATGGTTTTTTGCCAAGCCTAGACCCAGTTCAGCCCAAGAAGCACAGTCTTTGGGTATGGTTTTGCCAGCTAGACCAGTTCAGCCCAAGAAAGCACAGTCCTTTGGTAAATGGTTTTGCCATCCCTCCCCGCTAGACCCAGTTTTCATCCAAGAAAGACACAGTCTTTGGGGTAATGGTTTTGCCAGCTAGACCGCAATTCAGCCAAGAAAACAGTCTTTTGGGTAATGGTTTTGCCAGCTAGATAGACCCAATTCAGCGCAAGAAAAACACAGTCTTTGGTAATGGTTTTGCCAGCTAGACCAATTCAGTCCAAGAAAAACACAGTCTTTGGGTAATGGGTTTTGCCAGCTAGACCCAGTTCAAGCCAAGAAACAGTCTTTGGGTAATGGTTTTGCCAAGCTCAAGACCCAGTTCAGCCAAGAAAACACAGTCTTTGGGTAATGGTTTTTGCCGCTAGACCCAATTCAGCCAAGAAAACACAGTCTTTGGGTAAAATGGTTTTGCAGCTAGACCAATTCAGCCAAGAAAACAGTCTTTGGGTAATGGTTTTGCCAGCTAGACCCAATTCAGCCAAGAAAACACAGTCTTTGGGTAATGGCTTTTGCAGCTAGACCCAATTCAGCCAAGAAAACAGTCTTTTGGGTAATGGTTTTGCCAGCTAGACCCAAGTTCAGCCAAGAAAAACAGTCTTTGGGTAATGGCTTTCAGCCAGCCCAGCTAGCCAAGAAAAAAACACAGTCTTTGGGTAATGGTTTTGCCAAGACCAATTCAGCCAAGAAAACAGTCTTTGGGGGTAATGGTTTTGCCACTAGACCCAGTTCATCCAAGAAAACACAGTCTTGGGGTAATGGTTGCAGCTAGACCCAATTCAGCCAAGAAAACAGTCTTTGGGTAATGGTTTTGCCAGCTAGACCCAATTCAGCCAAGAAAACACAGTCTTTGGGTAATGGTTTTGCCAGCTAGACCCAGTTCATCCAAGAAAACACAGTTTTGGGTAATTGGTTTTCCAGCTAGACCCAGTTCAGCCAAGAAAAAACAGTCTTTGGGTAATGGTTTTGCCAGCTAGACCCAGTTCAGCCAAGAAAACACAGTCTTTGGGTAATGGTTTTGCCAGCTAGACCCAGTTCAGCCAAGAAAACACAGTCTTTGGGTAATGTTTTTTGCCAGCTAGACCCAAATTTTCAGCAAGAAAAACACAGTCTTTGGGTAATGGTTTTGCCTAGCTTCAGCCACCCAAATTCAGCCAAGAAAACACAGTCTTTGGGTAATGGTTTTGCCAGCTAGACCCAATTCAGCCAAGAAAACACAGTCTTTGGGTAATGGTTTTGCCAGCTAGACCCAATTCAGCCAAGAAAACACAGTCTTTGGGTAATGGTTTTGCCAGCTAGACCCAGTTCAGCCAAGAAACCAGTCTTTGGGTAATGGTTTTGCCAGCTAGACCCAATTCAGCCAGAAAAACACAGTCTTTGGTAATGGTTTTGCCAGCTAGACCAATTCAGCAGAAAACAGTCTTGGGTAATGGTTTTGCCAGCTAGACCCAATTCAGCCAAGAAACAGTCTTTGGGTAATGGTTTTGCCAGCTAGACCCAATTCAGCCAAGAAAACAGTCTTTTGGGTAATGGTTTGCCAGCTAGACCCAATTCAGCCAGAAAACACAGTCTTTGGATAATGGTTTTGCCAGCTAGACCCAATTCAGCCAAGAAAACAGTCTTTGGGTAATGGTTTTGCCAGCTAGACCCAATTCAGCAAGAAAAACACAGTCTTTTGGGTAATGGTTTTGCAGCTAGACCCAGTTCAGCCAAGGAAAACAGTTTTGGGAATGGTTTTGCCAGCTAGACCCAATTCAGCCAAGAAAACACAGTTTTGGGTAATGGTTTTGCCAGCTAGACCCAGTGCCAAGAAACACAGTCTTTGGGTAATGGTTTTGCCAGCTAGACTTCAGAAAACACAGTCTTTGGGTAATGGTTTTGCCAGCTAGACCCAATTCATCAAGAAAAACACAGTCTTTGGGTAATGAAGCTAGACCCAAATTCAGCCAAGAAAACAGTCTTTGGGTAATGGTTTTGCCAGCTAG